CAGACTAGGGCACAAGAGAGGAGAGTAGACTTATTGGCGTAGCTGAAAATGGTATGGATGAGCTCGAGGGAAGGGCTGTCATCGTGCCAGATGGTGGTGGACGAGAAGCAAGAGGCGCACGTGGGAGTATTCGGACCTGTTTAGCTTGCCGAGGCCTGCACTGCCGATCAAGGTCCGAAAACCGCACAGTACACTCTTGCGTTCATGAGATATATATTACACAAATAAACAAGGATCAATCAAAGAGAATCAAAACAGTAACTATAACTAGGCAGCAGCAGGCTGGGGGAGAGGCTTGAACCCGGTCCCTGTCACTCGTCCTCTCGGATCGTTGTCCCGAAGATTACCCCACACTCGGATGAGACGATTGAGGTACGGCTGTTCAATAAAACACGTCAGAATTCACGAACTATATGATTCCAATTTTTGACTCACCTCGTAATTCTCGGGCTCATCCCCTGCGAACTCACTGGCGAGATAAACGATCTCGTCGACGGTAACTTCATTGTGATCGACAACAGATACACAAAGAATGTAGGCGAGTACGTTTCTGTGGGTTGAAATGACACCCTCGTTGTGGAAGTTGTAGCGGTAGGTCATCATGTCGACTCGAATAATGGCGTTGCTGGTAACAAAAAAAGTCAATCAATTGAACACAGACTACAAGGAGAAATTGACTTACTGCTTGATACAAACAAAGAACTTTTGGTCATAACTCTCGCCTGCAGATGTGTCGCCCAGAATGACTTTGAGTCCGGTCTTCACGACTGACTATATCAAACAATCGGGTGAGCGAGCTGTAGCCGGATTGGACGATACTCGGCTTACCTTGAATCCCTCTAGAACACCATCCATTCCAGTTTTGCTGGCACCAAAGAACGCGTCGACGGCTTGCTCGACTCCGGGGGCTCCCTATAAATGGGTTGTAAACGATGGTGAATGATCAAGCTCAAGTGCGTAGATACTTACCTCAGCTCCAGTATCCACTCGGACAGATCGCTCAAAACGAAGAGCCCGCTTTCCAGGAACGCTGAGCTTTGCAGCAGCTATAGGAGTCCGGAGATGTAGATCGCATCAGAATTGTGTATTCAGGACGGGGTACGAGCTTCGAACTTACAGGCACTATCAAGAAACATTCGATTGAGTTGCTCCTCGAACGTGTCGAGCCTCGCATCAGCGAGCTTCATAAGCATTTCGAGTTGTTCTTTGGCGCGAGACTCTTTTTCATCGGCTCTGTCGACGGTCTTAACGATATCACTGACAACGTTGCCCATTGTGAGATAGAGATGAAGTGAGTTGAGGAGGATGAGGATGCTTGAGGTTTGGTGGTGAGGACGAGCGGATCCGAGGGGGATTTTATACTTTCTCCGACACCCAGCGTAGCCGTATAATCCCATCGGAGAGCTTTACGTTGCTGCCACTTCTGGAATTCAGCGATATAATTCACGTATGAAGTTGAAGGCCGCTGGCTAGTGTGTTCGTGTCGGAGACAAATCTACCCGGCCTGGAGTTACCAAATGTCATATATTCGCAGCATGCTCGCTCTCGCTCACCTCTTTGAGTATATTCTCCGCAGGACTTCTCCCAACGATGAGAATGAATCTAGGTCGATGACAGGATGTCCCCTGACGGCGTCATGAGCCCGTGCAACATTGAACGGCTGACAGTATTGGCACAATGGCATTGTCATTGTTCAATGGTTCCATGATACCTCTCCGTCAAGGACCCGAGAGGAATCACAGTGCTCACCGGTTGAATGAACAGTAGAGCGTTTTCAAGGATTGGGGGTCTTGTAGGCCTTCAGGTCACCTGGAGTCAAGTGTCCGGTCGGTAAGTAATCGCCGAAGTTTCCAAGCCTCTCCCAATTGTGAGAATTGAGATTTGGTCGTTGACAGGGTGCTCGCTGACGGCGTTGAGCCCGTGCAACACTAGACGGCGATGCGATGACAGTATTGGCATTGACGTTGTTAACTAAATCATGATTCCTTTCCGTCATGGACCCAAAAAGGATTACAGTAGCTCACCAGTCCTGCAAACAGTAAATTCTTTGGAGTATTGTGTGTCTCTGAGTCGGGTGTTTTTTAAGATATACTTACTATGTACTCTCACGCCGCTTATGGCTGCCTTCGTACAAACAGGTAGCTACCAGCTCGCAATCTCAAGGATCCGTCTATCCACCACACCCCCTTTGTTCCTCTTCCCGCTAAACTTTTCAGGCCAAAACCGTCATTCCTCCGCTCTTTATTTTCAAGTCTCCAGAGAGTGTGTTAGGCTTTTATAATGGAGTCTAAACCCAAGTCCCGGAGAGCCGGAGAGCATGCACTTTCAGAGAGTGTTGCCCTGGCGTCTCAGAGCGCTTAGGTATCTCGTCTTGACCTCTTTGTCTTCATCAGTAAGTGCCAACGAGACTGATCTTGACAAACTTGACTTGTTAAGTACGTAGATATAGCGACAGTTTTACTCAAATGTTCAAGGTCAATCAGTCAGTGTAGGAAACATAATCTGGTGGCGCCTCTTCCACCGCCTCAAGTACTGCCAGCCTACATAACGCATCGTTCAGCTGAGACCGCAGGACCTGCAAATCCTGCAAATCCTCCGCTTCAACGGTGGTACCGGAAAGACTTGAAGGAGCCCGAACTAAGGAGTGCATAACTCGCTCTTTTCCCTGAGGCTCAGCAAGTTGGCTGTCTTCCTGAACGTTGTATGAGCGGGTCGGAGTCCCGCTGGAGTTTTCACTCTGCTTCCCATCCCACACCATGCTCGTGGGAGAGCTGTATGTATATCGAGTGACTAAAATCATCGGATCCGACGTAACCAATTGCTTTCGGTTCAGCCTTTTCTCAGAGGGTCGGGCTAACGGACATATTGGGCATGGCGTGTTTTCGTCGATGTATTCCCGAAGCCGTTGGGCGTCTATGAGTATGGATTGATCTTTAAAGGAAACGACGCTTGGATATTCTTTAAAACGCACTGTGTTTTCTCCAGCGCCAGCATAGCAGAACCAATGGAAGTAGAATTAGAGTAGCTCCAATCACTAAACCGGATATGAGGCCTATGGTTGTTTTGTGGGGCGAGTTCAGCGGCTCTGAAGCACTAAGCGGGCCGTAAGCGAATGAGATCTCAAACGGGGGATAACGATGATCAAGTAATAGTCAAATAGAGTTTCTCACTGTAAGGTTCCAGTAGGTGAAGGGATTCCAACAAGGTATGACGTCGACAGTTGACTTGCATAGGGAGAATCAGTGCTGTTGAACAGACTGGTGTTTATGATATAGACACAGTGGGTAGGGAAAACTTTGCTCACATGCTCGTCGGTGGTGTACTTGATAAGAGGGTAGAAAATCTAGATGTCATGAGATTGCGTGTAGAGCCGTTGTGCCACTGATCTTATTCACTTACGAGATACTTGAAAGAGCCTCACTACTGGTACCAGTCGGGGTACCTACCCTTTCAATTCTTGCGCCGGTGTCGGTGTCAGGCCCAGCTCCCGTGTCAGTCCGAAACTCGTTCTTAGCCCCCATGTTCGGAATTACGGTCTTGGTTTCCGTTGCAGTCCAAATTTCGGTTTTAGTCCCGGTGTCGGTCCGAATTTTAGTCTCGGTCCATGTTTCTGTCCACGTCTCGGTTATGATTCCACTCCCTGCCACACTTTTCCCTACACTCCCAGTACCTTTATTCCTAGTGTTTCCGAGCACCGTTCCAGTCCTCATCTCAGTCCTCGTAAGGCTATTCGTAGTTCTGGTACTAGGCAAAATGCTCTGGATGCTAGATTGTGGAGGGGGCATGGATATGGGAGTGAATGGCGCGAATGGCTTTGGCGTAGCAATGAATGGCATTGATGTTGATTTACTGACGAGCATCGAGGGAGCAAAATCGATGGCGAGAGAATAGCAAAAGATGGAAGTTGGTGAAGGCCTTTGAAGTTCGTAGCTCTCGTTCCGCTGTTCTCGTGGTGCAAGACGAACAGAAAGGGGAAAGGGCGGTTTGATCATTAATCACCATGTGGTAGTTCAACTTGGTCTTATAACTATTTGCCTATGCAAGCCTGGCATGTGCAACCAATCCATTGATCCAAAATTCCGAAGGGTTCAGTACGAGAGCCCATGCTTCCATCCTAAAAATAAGTTGACAAACAGCTTGAATGGCCTCTGAATGTTCCCTGATAAGTCGTGTCTCTGGATGAATGGCTGCCGAACACTTTGTGATTGTCGCACACCAAGACAGTACAGCCTGACGCTGGAACCGCGCTTTATATCGAGAGATCAACAAGAAAATTTGATGTCTCAGAATGATCGGCTGCTAGGAAGATCAATCCAAGCCGTGGTGCGTGGTGCACTCGCACTAGTAGAGTGTGAGAACTCTCGACCTTGCGTAGTGCCCATCTACCTGTCATCGAATACCTCGGGTCATTGATAGTTTCCCTATGAAAACACCTTGAGTCAATCTTCCACGGGAAATGCGTGGATCTCCTTCTCGAGACACCTGAAATTGGATTTCCCGCCGTGACCATTGCCGTTGACCGACCAGAGGAATGGTACATCGAAATAATCGAAAGCCATTGCAATCAGACAATAGAATAGGGCTCGGAATCACGTGGCATCAGTAAAGAAAGGAGGGAGCTAGCATCTGACGAAAACGTGAGAATGGCGGCAATTCAAAAACACATAACAATCGTATCCATGGCGAGAGTGGGATTTGAGCCCATGTCCCGCAAAACCAGATACGAGACGTGCACTCCAGAAAACGCTAATCCCCAGAATAGTGCACAATCTCGAGTAACAGGTATGCTTCCGAGACGTTTGGATACTTGAACTTTTGACGTCGCGACGCAAAGCTTGGAGCCTCTGTCGGCTTTTCTTACCTTTCGATTCCGCTTTTTCGACCGGTCACCAAGTGGGCTGCGCTCAAGTAGTTCACAAGCCCAGATCCCAATTTGAAAAGCCAATGAGGCCGAGGGAGGGGGTTATTTGTGAAAAATGAAGGCACTGTTAAAATACCAAAGGTCCAACCAGGATTCGAGCCTGGGTTAATGGAAGATGACCATGATCCATATATCATCATCAAAATCCACTGTGATAACCACTACACTATAGGACCTATGGTGAGGTGCATCTCGTCGTAAAGCTGACTCATGATTCGCGGTGAGAAATTATCAAACGAGGGCCAGGAGATGCTATAGAAAGTGAGAAACCTAAAGTGCTCCAGTGTTGAATGGTTCTTTCGGAGTGAAGCCACGAGGATTGTAGCTAGAAATTATGGCATTTTCTGTTGGCTAATACAAATTGCTTATGAGCACAGTACTTCGGAATCTTGCTGCCGCCACAGACCAAGGGGGGCACGGGTACGGCTTAGAATAATGACAAATCATATGTCTCCGCAACGGAGAACTCTACTCGCTTGGGAATCGAGGTTCCCACGGTGTCAATACCGAATCGGACATGGCTCGAGAAGAGGCCCAAATTAATGTATGTCGGCCAAAGGTCTGCTCGAACCTCTCTTCACGACTCCAAGACCCATCAAGGGCGGGCCAATGACATGGTTGTTGATATCATCAAGCGGATCTGTGGAAGGAGATAGGTTAGACCAGTATTTCAGGCAGGCATGAACATCATTGACGGTCCACGACGTGACACTGGAATGGAGAAGTCAGGGTCATAGCTGGAAAAATAATTGTACAGCCAACGTACCTCGAGATATCGTCACCAACGTTGGCTGGGAGGGGTAGGGCGATGGCTGGGAGAGCCAAAGCCAGGAACGTGACGAGTTTGACTTGCATGTTGGGGTTTTTGGATGTGGGCTCGAAGGAACGATGGAGTTAGTTCTTTTTCATACCACCATTCCCTCCCAATGACTTTGACCTTTTCTATCTTCGTAGTCTCATCGGGACCGGTCCCGAAGGCTATTACGCCACTCAACGCCGACAGCATTATTCGGGTGAATGAAATAGAGATGTAATCCCGAGCCGAAAACATAGGGCCGAAGACAACAAGACAAGCTAGTTCAGAATTGGAACGCGGAAGCAAGTTGGGAAAATGAATACAATCGACTGGGCCTCAAATGTACCCCAACGTGTGATATCAAAGCCATCCCGCGAGACACGAGGTTCAGTCAAGGTGATTGAAGCTTGTCTTGGGCATTGGATAAGCAGAGAATCGGGCGTCGTCAAGCAACCAAAACTGACTGGCAAGGGCGGGATCCATGGCACAGAAGGAATATACGCCCATCGACAAACGTAGGGAGAGACGTTATATAGCGTTACCTCTCCCATAAATCGAAGAAATAACGCAGGCTTCAATAAAATGTCATCCAGCTACAGCAGGAGGAATGGTGGAGATGAGTTATGGTCGGGCAGCCTGTAATTCGTGGAGGCTGAGATTTCGAGTCACTAAAGGTGTACTGAGAGGCGAAGAGTCGCAGTTGTAACTAAGACTCGACTTTTCCTCTCCGGTATCGCTAGGTTGAGGTGGGAATGAGCAAGCTTTTCGAACAAACATCCGTGGGTTGGACGGATAGCAGAGGTGGATGGTTTCATCCAAGCGGCAAAGATGAGCGTAGACATGTTTTGACTGGAAGAGGATAGTGAAACGTAGTTATGAAAACGGAGTGAGAGCGGAAACGAACCTCTAGATCCATAGCTAATACAATGTATCCCAGATAGCCCGTCGTTGATCACTGCCCAGTGAGTCGTAGAAGAGCGTACGATCGGATAAGCTACAGAGGAGAAATTCAAGTACTCTTCGCAGAACGGATGAATAAAAGCCTGCCGGTGTTCAACGTTATCCACTGGTTGCAGTCCAGAGTCCTGCATTGCGCCCAGGGAAGGGAGTGCTGGTTCCGACGCCAAGGCGTCCGTCGGTGTCGCTGGCGACCCGGAACAGCTATGCGTTTACTCCACTCTGCCAATACGGCGAACGCTCCACAAAAAAAAACAAAAAGAAGGGGTGCTGGTCGTGGTCGTGGTAGTCAAAAGCTAAACCGCGCCCCAGCTTCGGCTCCGAAGACCGACATCCTTGTCCCGATACACACTACCCAACGTTTGCCCTACCCTCATTGAAGCTCAGCGTCGGTCGACGTGATACAGTAAGAATGTAACGTACGCAGGACTTATATGGTGAACTCTGAGTATGCGACATCTAAGATGACCCGCTCCTCGTTACTGATGCATCTATGCATCTCAGTTACGTTAACGTAAACCTCCGAGTGCTGGAATCTCACTAGGCCGCATTTAGGTAGCTCGAGACGGTAATCGACGCTAGGAAAGAGGGAGGCTTTCCTGCGGGATTCTTCATCTTCGGTGCCGTCCCTAAGTTTTTGCTGTTTGAGCACATAGGTATCCAACGCCGTGCTCAAGCTTCGAGGTAAGTTATTCGCTTGCACTATCGCGAAGTGTCATCCCTGAAACACCTCAGGGCCGCCGATCCTCCCAAGCAGTTGGCTACTGACATTACAAACTATCCGAATGGAGACATGAGCGACATACCGGACTGGAATGAGCAAAGAATGAGAACAATAAATTTGGTCTCCCCATTTCCTACACCTTAATGATACAAACGCTCCAAACGCTCCTCCAAGGACTCACCCTTGGCCCTCAAATATACGCAACGTCTTTACCTAGTAGCCTACACACCATTCGAGCGACCGTCCGGAATTTTCCAAGATCCAATTCCACTTTGAGGATATGATATAGTCCGAAATTTCGTTGTGGACATTGGTATGTTGGGCACTGCACGACGCGTGTGATACTGAAAGAGCAAAACGTGGTCGGTGAAAGGAGTAGCAGGATCGGCTTGGGTGAGCTGCATTTAGGGCTATGGTTTACCGTTCTGGCGAGCTTACTTCTGCGCTTTGAGAGGAGTTCGATGTTGAGTATGGTAAAGAAGCTAGAGACTCCCCGTAAGCCGTGATACATGCGTAGTGATGCTCATATTCGCGAACATCATGTAGTGTACTGAGATTTCTGAGTCCTCAGGCAGTGCAGTTGGATGAGGGCTCCGGCAACGTGATTCAGAACGGTCTTAAAGTACTCGTAATTATAATAGCATTACGAATTGTCCCGTGAGTACCCATATTCAATTCTCTACGGTAGGTTAAGCACATTCATGACTTCAGTCATGAATAGGGATATTCCAAGTTGCACGATGTATCGCAACGGCTGTGCTTTCCAAGTCCCGTAAGTGGCCACCAATTTTCACTTGGATTTCATCGTGGGGACTCCGAAGGGCTCGGATCGACAGTCTGCGAGGCTCGTCTGAGGCTCAAACTCTCGAAGACTTTTGTTCTACTGTTCATACTGAGGATTGTGGTGCGGGCTCTCGGACGTTCAGCCGCCTGAGTTCGTAGGATTGTATAGTGAAGACTGGATCTGGGAAGTTACCCCTCTCTTCATATTGGGGCTCAGATAGGCAGAGTGTGATGTTTGTCTGAGATCTAGATTCTCGACGAGGTTTTCTTTCGTGATTCTTGTTTGTTAATCGCAGGCCGTGCTCTCGGACGTCAAGCCGCCCATGTTCGTAGGAAAATGTATAGGGAAGTCGGGGACTAGGAAGTTATCCCTCTCTTCATATCGAGTTCAAACTTCAAACTTTATCCTTCAGCCGTTTCGAATGTGATGCTCTACTGATTATATGAACTTGGATTCTAGAATCTGCTGCGCTACAAGGACGGATCACATGAGTGGCACGTCCGTTGTATTGTGTTGCTGTGTTCCTATGCGCAGCCACCAAGGAGGGAATACAATTTGACGGCAGTTATTTATAGACTGTCTTTTTATCTCCTCTGGCTCTTATTGAATACGATATCACGGCTGCGGCTTGCGATAGCTCGCAAGCCTCAGAGGTGAGCGTCCACCAAACCTTATGTTTTGTGAAGCACTGATGCTCTTCGACTGGGTTTAGTTTGTCTCTACTTACCGAAGCGAAAAATACCTGTCGTAGTTTCTGTTGTCCGTGGCTCGACCCTGTTATACAAGTAATTTCGATTTTCCCTAGAGTTCGTTACCTTCCAACTTTTCAAGAAACGCACATCAGATACGAGATTCTCAGGATCTACAACTCCGCTTCCAGTATGAGGAGAGTTACCCGCTAATGGTCGCAGTTGACAACGCACTCCAGCGATCCTACAGTTTCGATATGTTTGTTTAATTTGTTTCCGTGCTCGGATTTACCAGTCAATTTGACTGTGCCAAGTGAAGAGAATATATAGGCAATGCCGTTGGCTATCACACCTTCTCACCGACAACGCGCCCCGTTCGCCGGAAGCTCGAAGCCGTAAATGCTGTGAACGTCGTACTGTTCCGTCGCCCGGTGATACCAGTGGGGATTCGTCTGCTGCTTTGACTACCCGGGGTAGTTTATGGTTTTGCGCCCGAGACAAATTTCTCCCTATACCAGCTCGAGTATAAAAGCTCACCTCCAGTTCCCTGACAGAACAGACCGACCCATCTCACGAGTAGAATGCCTCGTCTCTTCCCTTCCTTTTTGACACTCTCTTGCATCCTGGCATCGCCAGCCTTCGCCTCGATCGGTCCTGTAGCTGACCTGACCATCACCAACAAGGATGTCTCTCCAGATGGCTTCACTCGTGGCGCTGTTGTTGCCGGTGACAGCACTATTGGCCCACTCATCGTCGGCAACAAGGTTTGCTCTCTGCCTCCTGGTCGAACCTTCGGAAGGAATAACTGATTTTGATCTTTCAGGGCGACGAATTCCAGATCAACGTCGTCAACAACCTGGACGATGACACAATGTTGCAGTCTACGAGTATTGCAAGTATTTCTTCCCGAGTCCATTCCTATCCATTCACTCATACCCTCGATTTCGGTAGCACTGGCACGGATTCTTCCAGAAAGACTCTCCCTGGGCTGATGGTGTTGCCTTTGTGACACAGTGTCCAATCGCAAAAGGCGATAGCTTCCTTTACGACTTCAAAGCTCAAGATCAGGCTGGAACATTCTGGTACCACTCTCATCTTTGTGAGCTGGTAACTCATTCGTCCTTTCACATGATGTACTGATGTGTTTCTTTAGCAACCCAGTACTGTGATGGTCTTCGGGGACCCCTCGTTGTCTACGACCCCGAAGATCCTCATGCTAGTCTCTA